GAAGCGCATAATGCAGCAGTGCTATGCAAAATCACTGAACATGGGCGCAATGATTTCCAAGCTCCTGGGGGAAAAATAGTAAATGCACATTTTTTTGTTCTGGCAAAAATGTGCATTTATTATTTTTTCTTCCCAAAAGGTGAACTGTAAAGTGGAATACATGTATAAAGATGAAACTTTTTCAGCCTTTGATAAATCTTGGAAGAACCAGGTTTGTCTTGTGCTCTGTGTCCCCATTGTCAGCCCTTCCTTTGTCCTGGTAACCACTTTCATCAGGAAAGTCAAAACGTTAAAGGTGCTATCATAGGAAGAGGTGAGGCAATCTTCCAATGGGGACATCCGTTCTGCTGACCACTAAGATGGGAATATTCAGTAGAGAAGATGGGACTTTCAGGGTGCATGAACATGAATACCAAACATTAAAAAGTTATATAATTTTTATTTCGTATTTTGGTAAAAAACACAAGAAAGGAAAAAATACAGAAACATAAAAACGATTTCAGTTCTAAGAATACCAATTGAGATTCAAACTCGGTTAGGTAAATGTAGTTACTCCCTGCATGTTTCGTCCTCACGGGCTTCTTCAGGGGAGATTTTTTTCGGAAATTTCTACCGCCAATTATATAACTTTTAATGTGTGGTATTCATGTTCATGCACTCTGAAAGTCCCATCTTCTCTATTGAATATTTGCAATTTTAGGGAATGTGGTGCAATAATCATATCTGGTCGCTCACTTGCCACTTCACTGTTTCAACTAAGATGGGAAATTCCTCACACTTTGAGAGATTTATTTACAATTGCTTTTCCAGGACAGGAAGTAAGAGCCGGGGCTTGGATATGCATGGAGTTTGTACCCGGGGCATTAGGCTGGCCATACATTTTACAATTTTCTTGAGAATTTTGCTTTAGATTTACCAAAAACCATATAATATGAGGTCAAACCTAAAAAACACTTTCAATTGTATCCAATTAGGCAGGCCCTACATAGTTGAAGGTAAATCTAAAGGAAATTGGGCAGAAAATTGTAAGAAAATTGTATAATGTATGGTCAGCCTGACAGCCTGAGACTTACGAGTTTCCCAGCAGCTGATTCATTGAAGTGATTGTAAACCTCAGACATGAAATGTGAACAAAAGCATGCCCATCTATAGTGTGTACTTGATTCAGTCCAGAGCACTAAGTGCCCGGTCACACCAGTGCGACTTAGGTGCAATTTGGTAATTGAAATTGTACCTGAAATCGCTTCTAATGATTGTGACTGTCCGTGTCTTAACATTTGCGATTCGCTGTGGCGCGTTTTCTAAAGTAGTTCTTGCATTACTTTTGCCTGCAGTTTCGTTCTGATTTCACATACATAGAATATCATGGAAATCGCACTGCAATTTGCAAGCAATTGTTGAAAACCTTCACAAGTTGCAATAAACCTTCAGAAATCGCACCTGAAATTGCACACAAATCATGCGATTTTAAATGGCAGCGGTGTGACTCGGTGACTAACTGTCATTTTTATTTGCTGACTCCTTCCTCTGTTATGAATGAATCACTTCTGACAGGATTTACTGACACTAGGAGAAAAATGGTGACAGGGGAGGGATCTCCAGCAGATTGACAGTCTCAGCCCTGTTCCTGTGATCTGTATGGAGGAAGGGGGGGGGGGTCCCTTCCTGCCTTCCTTCCTGCCTTCCCTCCTTCCTTCCTTCCTGCCTTCCCTCTTTCCTTCCTGCCTTCCCTCCTTCCTGCCCTCCTTCCTTCCTTCCCTTCCCTCCTTCCTTCCTGCCTTCCTCCCTGCCTTCCTTCCTGCCTTCCCTTCCTCCTTCCTTCCTGTCTTCCTTCCTGCCTTCCTTCCTGCATTCCTTCCCTCCTTCCTTCCTTCCTGCCTTCCCTCCTCCTTCCTTCCTTCCTTCCTCCTTCCTTCCTGCCTTCCCTCCTGCATTCCTTCCTTCCCTCCTTCCTTCCTGCCTTCCCTCCTTCCTTCCTTCCTGCCTTCCCTCCTTCCTTCCTTCCTGCCTTCCCTCCCTTCCTTCCTTCCTGCCTGCCTTCCTTCCTTCCCTCCTTCCTGCTTCCCTCCTTCCTTTCTTCCTGCCTTTCCTCCCTCCTTCCTTCTTGCCTTCCTCCCTCCTTCCTTCCTGTCTTCCTCCTTCCTCCTTCCTTCCTGCTTCCTCCCTCCTTCCTGCCTGCCTGCCTGCCTCCTTCCTTCCTTCCTGCCTGCCTCCTTCCTTCCTGCCTGCCTGCCTTCCTGCCTGCCTTCCTTCCTTCCTGCCTTCCTTCCTGCCTGCCTGCCTTCCTTCCTGCCTGCCTTCCTTCCTTCCTGCCTTGCCTTCCTTCCTGCCTTCCTATTAGCTCTTCTTGCTGAGCTGCAGAGTGTAATTTCAGCTCTCCAACCCCTGCATTTCTGAAAGCTCGAGACAAACTTGTAAATTCTGGGCTTTGAATGGATGTAGAGAAGAGAATATTGTAGATAAACAGGTACAACTTATGTAGGAGGATTTGTTTCATCTCTGTGTATCGCCTGCGGCAGTCACTTCACTGGGTATATGGAAGGGTTCACAACCACTGTAAGTTTATTGCAGACTGCCGCAATGTGTTTTTTTTTTTTTTTTTTTGTTTTAAACCTTTTTTTTTTTTGTTTTTGTGCATCATTTGTACAGTTCCATGAAACTAAGCAGATCATATTTATTGTACAGCGTAGAATCTTTTTATATGTTATTTTGTATAGTGCTAGCAATGTATGGCGCTCTTTGTGTACTGCCTGTTCACATTAGTCATGCCCCCAGGAGCTTACAATCCAAGGTCCCTATCTCACATACATATGCATACTAGGACCAGTTTAGACAGGACACCACCTACCAGCATGTTTTTAGCGTGTGGGAGGTGGTTCTCACCCGTCCTTCATCTAAGACGGAAAAAAAAGAAAGTTTTTTTTTTTTTTCCTCTGCGTACATTTTCAAACACACGAGTGAGGATGTGGTAAACCCCCCTTCAGGATTTTATTGCTGTCTGTGTCTCTGCTGAGAAATGAACTCACTATTTATCTTGAGAACCCGTCATCTACACAGAGAGTGATGGGAAATCCAAAACTTCGTGTTCATCTTTTCCGAAAAAGAATGAAAAGTTGAACTAAAGTCGGCATTTACAGGTCTAATGAGATCCATGTATAATGAGGGCGGTTGTACAGAATCCATCTACTCATCGACTTCTGTGCAACCACCCTGTTGGGTTTTCCCTGTTCGATCAGCACCATAGGCTATAGCCAGCAACTCTGATCTGTGTATTCTGATGGCTGGGAAGTCTCCCTGCTGACAACATACAATAGCGGGTAGGATTCCCCCATCCACATTGAAATGTGTGTGTGGGGGATGTAGTTTTTTTTTGCTTTCATTCAATCTGTTTATCTATGGCAGGGGTGCTCAACCTGTGGCTCGCGGTCCATGTGTGGCCCTCGAAGCCCTCTGACGCGGCCCCCTGAGCCCTCTGACGCGGCCCCCTGAGCCCTCTGACGCGGCCCCCTGAGCCCTCTGACGCGGCCCTCTGACGCCCCCCTGAGCCCTCTGACGCGGCCCCCCTGAGCCCTCTGACGCGCCCCCCCTGAGCCCTCTGACGCGGCCCTCCGCGGCCCCCTGAGCCCTCTGACGCGGCCCCCCCGGAGCCCTCTGACGCGGCCCCCCGGAGCCCTCTGACGCGGCCCCCGGAGCCCTCTGACGCGGCCCCCCTGAGCCCTCTGACGCGGCCCCCCGGAGCCCTCTGACGTGGCCCCGACCTCAAACCAGGGAAGCACACTTCTGTTATATACTGCGGGTTTGAAACACTTTCTGAAAATGCACCTCACCCGCAAGGTATAATAGAAGTCTGCAGCAGAGCACAGCAGCAAGAAAACCCGCAGGAGCATTGTGGGTAAACCGCAGCACTTCAGTGTGAAAGCAGCCGTATAGGCTCAGGATAGTAAGGGCTTGTTTAAGTAGTTGAAATGTGTTTTTTACCTCACCCCCAACCAGGGGCGGACTGACCATTTGAGCACGGGCGCTGCCTGAGGGCCCCCGGGTCAGTAGAGGGCCCCATGAGATGCCCCTGGTACCTTTCACTGTTTTTTTCATAGGCTTTTTTGGGTGTGGGCGAGGACACGGGGGGCCCCATGATTCCCTATTGCCCGGGGGCCCCATGAGTTGTCAGTCCACCCCTGCTCCCCCAACCACTGGTGTAGTGTCAGGGGTCTCAATGTTGACCCAGTCTCCATGCTCCAGGGGTCCCTGTGAGGTCCCCCTGTCACATTCTGTTTTACACTTGGACAGGAGATGCGGCGGAGGCAGAATATACAGGCACCGATCCTCTCCATTCTCCTCCTGCAATCTCTGAAAGCCGGCTTCTCCTCCTCTCTTGCCGGCATTCAACGGCTGCGGGAGGAAACGGTTCAGAATTTGTTATTTTGAATAGCATAATGAACAATTTCTTTTCATTTTGGTCCAGGACCAGTTACTAAATCATCTAAGTGACCCTCGCTCTTGAAAAGATTGAGCACCCTTGCGATATGGGCTGCCTACTTCTCAACATCACTCCACGCCGGTTCCTACTGCACTTACCTCTGTGAGCGATACAGTTTTTACCATCCCCGCAGTCTGGTGCAGCAGCCCTGGGGTTGGAAAAACCATGCTGTTCTTCCTCTTCTTTCCCTAGGGACGCCATGATGGATCAGAACAGTTGTGATTGGTCAGTGCACCAATCAGAACGGCTCCGATCTCTACCTGTTGTATCTCTGAGACAGGAAGTGACGGGAAGTCTCCCCAGCAGAAACACAGCCGAAAAAAAAATAAAATCACTGGAGAAATACACGGCTATTAGAGCTAAGGTTTAATCTGCATAAATGTTACATTCCCTGGTTTGTCCTTCCCCATCAACATGCTAATAAATGAATGAATAAAATCTGCTTGTTTTTATTACATAGATGTCCTCTTTCCGGTTTTTTTTTTCTTCAAAAAATGTCTAATGGAAGCTTTCCCTTGTGCAGGTTACCTGCTGACCAGAGGAGAGGATACACCAATGTGTTCAATGCTCTAGTGAGGATGAGTAGAGAAGAGGGGATCACCACACTGTGGAGGGTGAGTGCTGGATGACCTTCATTTATTGGTGAATCTGGGTACCCCTGGAATTATTGTATAGCTTTGCTGTGTATACGGGTCGCGGTGTAGCTATGTGTGCACGCACACACACCGAAAAATTAGAATATGGTGCAAAAGTTCATTTATTTCAGTGCAGCAACTTAAAAGGTGAAACTAATATATGAGATAGACTCATTACATGCAAAGCAAGATAGTTCAAGCCGTGATTTGTCATCATTGTGATGATTATGGCTTACAGCTCATGAAACCTCCAAATCCACAATCTCAGAAAATGAGAATATTCCATGCAATCAATAAAACACGGATTGTACATAGAACAATATCGGACCTCTGAAAAGTAGAAGCTGCATATGTACTCAGTACTTGGTTTGGGCCCCTTTTGCAGCAATTACTGCCTCAATGCGGCGTGGCATGGAAGCTATCAGCCTGTGGCACTGCTGAGGTGTTATGGAAGACCAGGATGCTTCAATAGCGGCCTTCAGCTCTTCTGCATTGTTCGCTCTCATGTCTCTCATCTTTCTCTTGGCAATGCCCCATAGATTCTCTATGGGGTTCAGGTCAGGCGAGTTTGCTGGCCAATCAAGCACAGTAATCCCATGGTCATTGAACCAGGTTTTGGTGCTTTTGGCAGTGTGGGCGGGTGCCAAGTCCTGCTGGAAAAAGAAGTCAGTGGACCAACACCAGCAGATGACATGGCTCCCCAAATCAACACAGACTGTGGAAACTTCACACTGGACTTCAAGCATCTTGCAGTGTGTGCCTCTCCATTCTTCCTCCATACTCGGGGTCCTTGGGCCTCTCCATTCTTCCTCCATACTCGGGGTCCTTGGGCCTCTCCATTCTTCCTCCATACTCGGGGTCCTTGGGCCTCTCCATTCTTCCTCCATACTCGGGGTCCTTGGGCCTCTCCATTCTTCCTCCATACTCGGGGTCCTTGGGCCTCTCCATTCTTCCTCCATACTTGGGGTCCTTGGGCCTCTCCATTCTTCCTCCATACTCGGGGTCCTTGGTTTCCAAATGAAATGCAAAAGTTGCTCTCATCAGAAAAGAGGACTTTGGACCACTGAGCAACAGACCAGGTCTGTTTTTTCTTTAGCCCAGGTAAGGCGCTTCTGATGTTGTTTATTGTTCAGGAGCGGCTTGACAAGAGGAATACGATATTTGAATCCCATGTCCAGGATCCGTCTGTGTGTGGTGGCTCTTGATGCACTGACTCCAGTCTCAGTCCACTCCTTGTGAAAATCCCCAACACTTTTGAATGGCCTTTTCCTGACAATCCTCTCCAGGCTGCGGTCATCCCTGCTGCTTGTGCACCTTTTCACAATATTCTCATTTTCTGAGATTGTGGATTTGGGGTTTTCATGAGCTGTAAGCCATAATCATCACAATGATGACAAATCACGGCTTGAACTATCTTGCTTTGCATGTAATGAGTCTATCTCATATATTAGTTTCACCTCTTAAGTTGCTGCACTGAAATAAATGAACTTTTTCATGATATTCTAATTTTTTGAGTTTCACCCGTGTATATGTATGTGTGTGTGTATGTGTATATGTGTGTGTGTGTGTGTGTATATATATATATATATATATATATTATATATATATATATATATATACATACATACACACACGTGACAGTGAAGTGCCATCCAGATATTAATTCTATATTATTTTCCAGGGCTGTGTACCCACCATGGCTCGCGCTGTTGTTGTAAATGCTGCACAGTTGGCATCCTACTCCCAATCCAAGCAGTTCCTACTTGATTCAGGTAAGACTTCCTGAGGAATTCCACTATTAAACCGCTCCTATGACTCTCTAGCGCAGCCTTTTTCAACCTTCTTTAACACAGAGGACACCTTGAAATACATTTCCGGTCTCGGGGAACCCCTGCTATAAATGACTATATCTACAACACATGATACTTTAGTGTGATGGTCGGTGGGAAGAAATACCTTCTTATCAATAATTAAAAATATCAATGGTGTCAGTGGGAACTTATTTGAGAGGCAGACATTGCTCATTGCTCAAGGAACCCCTAGCCATCTCTAAAGGAACCCCTAGCCATCTCTAAAGGAACCCTGCTGTAGTGCATTGTGGGCACAACAAAGACCCCTGGGGGTTTTCTCAAACCTAAAGCAAGTACACAATATACCAGGAACATTAGGCGCACTCATAATGGCCATGGTGGGTGTCCGATCCTGGGTGGTCAAGTACAGTGATCTCACCAGTAGAATGCCAGAAAGATATAAGAAACCAGACACTGAAAATACTGGTTATTATTTGCACTAATTATTCAAAACAGAAGGCCATCGCTTCCTTCATATATCATCCCTTCCTTCATATATTATTATTATTATACAGTATTTATAAAGCGCCAATAGTTCGCTCAGCACTGTACATTACAAAGGGGGACATAACATGTGACAGAACAATACCAATACAATGCAAAACATGAGGGGATTATCATCACTTCCTCGTATATCATCGCTTCCTCCGTATATCATCGCTTCCTCCGTATATCATCGCTTCCTCCGTATATCATCGCTCCTTCCTTCGTATATCATCGCTTCCTTCGTATATCATCGCTTCCTCCGTATATATCATCGCTCCCTCCGTATATCATCCCTTCCTCCACAAATCTAAAAGAAGAGGGGGAGGAGCATATTTTCCTCAGGTATAGCTAATAGGGGATCAATGCAAATCATTCCTTTTAAAGTGATTATAAACCCTCACCTTGTAAAACAATCCATTCAGTTTATTTAAATATAAATAAAAGGCAAAACATTTGTGTATAGATATAAAAAAAAAAAAATTATACCTCCCCTCCCCTTTCCCCCCCCTTTTTCCCTCCCCTCCCTTTTTTTCCCTTTCTCCTCCCCCCCCCCCCCCTTTCTCCATTTTTTATTTTTCCCTTTTTATTTTTTCTCATTTTTATTTTCCCTTTTTTATTTTTCCCTTCTATTGTTCCTTCCCCCCCCCTCCCCCCCCCCTTCCTTCCCCCTTTCCCCCCCCCCCCCCCCCTTTCCCCCTTTCCCCTTCCCCCCCCCCCCCTTTCCCCCCCCCCTTCCTTCCCCCTTTCCCCCCCCTTCCTTCCCCCTTTTTCCCCCCCCTTCCTTCCCCCCCTTCCTTCCCCTCCCTTCCTTCCCCCCCCTTCCTTCCCCCCCTTCCCTCCCCCTTTCCCCCCCCCCCCCCCCCCTTCCCCTCCCCCTTTCCCCCCCTTCCCTCCCCTTCTCCCCCCTTTATTCCCCCTTCCCCCCCTTTCCCTCCCCTCCCCCCTCCCCCTTTCCCTCCCCTTCCCCTCCCCCTTTCCCCCCTCCCCCTTCCCCCCCCCTTCCCCCCTCCCCCCCTTCTCCCCTCCCCCCTTCTCCCCCCTTTTCCCCCCTTTCCCCCCCTTTTTCCCCCCCTTTCCCCCCTCCCCTTCCCCCCCTCCCCCCTTTCCCGCCCTTTCCCCCCACTTTCCCCGCCCTTTCCCCCCACTTTCCCCGCCTTTTTCCTCACTTTCCCTGCCCTTTTTCCCGCTCTCCCTGCCCTTTTTCCCCCTCCCCCTTTCCCCATTTCCCCCCTTCCCTCCCCCTTTTCCCCCTTCACTCCCCCCTTCTCCCCCCTTCACTCCCCCCTTCTCCCCCCTTCACTCCCCCCTTCCCTTACATAGCTTGTCAGCACTTATTAGTGTAAGATATTGAACCCGCGGCTTCAGTGGAAGAAGTGTTGGGATAGTGACGTAAACAAAAACGACAAAAAAAAAAACCCACCAATCAGGAGCCATTGAGCTCTGTGAAATCTGTGTATTATGGAATCACGTGCACACAGTACATTTCATGATATTATAGCTCAGCAACAATAACCTGTGTTTCTTTCTTGTAGGATATTTCCGGGATGATATCTTGTGTCACTTCTGTGCTAGTATGATCAGCGGGTTGGTCACTACAGCTGCCTCTATGCCCGTCGACATCGCAAAAACCAGGTAGAGGACCAAGCCGCGTCCTGTCCCCATCTCTGTTTCAGTGCATGTTGATGGGTTTTAAAAAAAAATGTTTTTGTAAAGATGTATGTAATCCCGGTCGGCCATAATTTCACAGGTTCTGCCTCCTGGTTCTGTGTTATGACTGGTACTCCCTACTCTCACCGTAAGTCTCTCAGACTGAACACAATACAGTATATAGGGGTAACTAATACAGAGAAAGCGTAGCTGGTTGTAGTGCTTGACAGGTGCAGAGAATCCGCGTATGAAATACTATCGTGAAAAAGCAAAATGTGGAAGTCTGGTACTCTCACTTACAGTGTTACTAAAACCCCGGACCCTGCGTTCACTATATCCGCTCTCCCCGGACCCTGCGTTCACTATATCCGGTCTCCCCGGACCCTGCGTTCACTATATCCGGTCTCCCCGGACCCTGCGTTCACTATATCCGCTCTCCCCCGGACCCTGCGTTCACTATATCCGCTCTCCCCCGGACCCTGCGTTCACTATATCTGGTCTCCCCAGACCCTGCATTCACTATATCTGCTCACCCCGGACCCTGCATTCACTATATCCGCTCTCCCCGGACCCTGCATTCACTATATCCGCTCTCCTCGGACCCTGCATTCACTATATCTGGTCTCCCCGGACCCCGCATTCACTATATCCGCTCTCCCCGAACCCTGCATTCACTATATCCCCTCTCTCCAGACCCTGCATTCACTATATCTGCTCACCCCGGACCCTGCATTCACTATATTTGATCCCCGGACCCCGCATTCACTATATCCGGTCTCCCCCGGACCCTGCATTCACTATATCCGCTCTCCCCGGACCCTGCATTCACTATATCCGCTCTCCCCGGACCCTGCATTCACTATATCCGCTCTCCCCGGACCCTGCATTCACTATATCCGGTCTCCCCGGACCTGCATTCACTATATCCGCTCTCTCCCCGGACCCTGCATTCACTATATCCGGTCTCCCCGGACCCTGCATTCACTATATCCGGTCTCCCCGGACCCTGCATTCACTATATCCGGTCTCCCCGGACCCTGCATTCACTATATCCGGTCTCCCCGGACCCTGCATTCACTATATCCGGTCTCCCCGGACCCTGCATTCACTATATCCGGTCTCCCCGGACCCTGCATTCACTATATCCGGTCTCCCCGGACCCTGCATTCACTATATCCGGTCTCCCCGGACCCTTGCATTCACTATATCCGGTCTCCCCGGACCCCGCATTCATTATATCTGCTCTCCTTTGACCCTGCATTCACTATATCCGCTCATCCTTGGACCCCGCATTCACTATATCCGCTCTCCCCGGACCCTGCATTCACTATATCCTCTCTCCCCTCGGACCCCTGCATTCACTATATCTGGTCTCCCCGGACCCTGCATTCACTGCTTCCCCACGGACCCTATTCACATATCCGTCTTCGGACCCTGCATTCACTATATCCCCTCTCCCCAGACCCTGCATTCACTATATCCGCTCTCCCCAGACCCTGCATTCACTATATCCGCTCTCCCCGGACCCTGCATTCACTATATCCGCTCTCCCCGGACCCTGCATTCACTATATCCGCTCTCCCCGGACCCTGCATTCACTATATCCGCTCTCCCCGGACCCTGCATTCACTATATCCGGTCTCCCCGGCTCATCCCACTATATCCGCTCTCCCCGGACCCTGCATTCACTATATCCGCTCTCCCCGGACCCTCCCCCGGACCCTGCATTCACTATATCCCTCTCTCCCCGGACCCTGCATTCACTATATCCGCTCTCCTTTGACCCTGCATTCACTATATCCGGTCTCCCCGAACCCTGCATTCACTATATCCGCTCTCCCCGGACCCTGCATTCACTATATCCGCTCTCCCTGGACCCTGCATTCACTATATCCGCTCTCCCTGGACCCTGCATTCACTATATCCGCTCTCCCTGGACCCTGCATTCACTATATCCGCTCTCCCTGGACCCTGGACCCTGCATTCACTATATCCGCTCTCCCTGGACCCTGCATTCACTATATCCGCTCTCCCTGGACCCTGCATTCACTATATCCGCTCTCCCCGGACCCTGCATTCACTATATCCGCTCTCCCCGGACCCTGCATTCACTATATCCGCTCTCCCCGGACCCTGCATTCACTATATCCGCTCTCCCCGGACCCTGCATTCACTATATCCGCTCTCCCCGGACCCTGCATTCACTATATATCCGCTCTCCCCGGACCCTGCATTCACTATATATCTGGTCTCTCCCCGGACCCTGCATTCACTATATCCGCTCTCCCCGGACCCTGCATTCACTATATCCGCTCTCCCCGGACCCTGCATTCACTATATCCGCTCTCCCCGGACCCTGCATTCACTATATCCGCTCTCCCCGGACCCTGCATTCACTATATCTGGTCTCCCCGGACCCCTGCATTCACTATATCCGCTCTCCCCGGACCCCGCATTCACTATATCCGCTCTCCTTTGACCCTGCATTCACTATATCTGGTCTTCCAGGACCCTGCATTCACTATATCTGCTCTCCCCGGACCCTGCATTCACTATATCTGGTCTCCCCGGACCCTGCATTCACTATATCTGCTCTCCCCGGACCCTGCATTCACTATATCTGCTCTCCCCGGACCCTGCATTCACTATATCTGGTCTCCCCGGACCCTGCATTCACTATATCTGCTCTCCCTGGACCCTGCATTCACTATATCCGCTTTCCCACAGTACGCACAACATGGAATTATGTTAGTAAATATAAACTTCTAAATACCTTTTCTCATTAGCAGTATATAGCAGTCTTGTGACTTCTATCAGTGTCCAGCCGAGTACTGTGTTAATCTTATAGGTGGAGTTTTTCAGTCTCCTCTGACTGTACTATGAGGCTGCATGACCTCTAACCCTGTCTGGACAGTGCTGATTGGCCTTGTGCTGGTCACATGCACCCTCCCAAGAAAAAAAACTCTAGCAATATTCACCAAACAGAGCATTTGCAGACTTGCCACTGCTGCTTTAACTATAGCAGATGGATTGGGGACAGCAAAAGAAGGGTAGGATCAGAGAAGACAGGATCAAACAGTCTTTTTACACAATGCAGAGGATTAACCCCTTATATTCCACAGTGAGTATACCAAGCATGCTTTACTGCATATACAGACTGATTGTACTGTTGTGGGTTTAGTAACACTTTAAGGTGTGACTATGAGCAAAATAAAAAAAAAAATGACATATAATGCAGTCTGTCATTAGCACATCGTTTTTTGTTTTTTTTTGGGTCCCCATAACCGTTTCTTTCTCGTCCATTGGGGGACACAGAAATTCCAATGCAATCGGGTTATACTGTTGTCTACAGGAGGATTAGACACAGGTAAACAGATAAAAGTTAGGCCAACCCCCAGACCACCACCACAGAAGGAGTGACTGAGCACTCCTGTCATCTGTTGGGTGAAGTGTCTCCCCCTGTGCTCTGCTTCGTGCCATGCAGCATAAAAGAAGCATCTCCTTACTGCTGCTTCTGCATTGCAAAAAAGCCAATTTGGATCTCTGATCCTTGGTCTGTACTTGCTGCCTGCCTTCAGTGATCATGGTAACCTCTGGCCACCTCAACCTCAGATGGCACCACCCGTCTGGGTATTGTGAGCACTTAAGGCTTGAGGTTGCCTCATATATCTCGAGCCTAACATTGCCTAAATGCCACACAGTCACAACACATCTAATTCTAGACACAGAGTGGACAGTCCTGCTAGCAGCACGGGTTCCCCCAGTTCACACTCTATTAATGGATCCGGTGCTGCTTGCAGTGCACCTGCTAAAGTGTCCTGCATCTGCAGCATGGAGTCATGTTACTTACCAATCCCAGAATCTATCTCATCTTCAGAGTCTTCCCTGGCTTTGTTGGGTATGACCAACTCCTTTGAAGTTTGTTACAGTCAGGCAAGAATTTAAGTTCCAAATCACCCCGTTACTTGTTGACTCTTATCATGGGGGCCACAAGACTCTGATTTTCAGTCACTCCAGTCATTATCGGACAAGGTTGCTTCCGCGTTATGGTCTTTTGCAATTACTCCCAAATTAGGAGACCTTTTGGCTCTTATTGAAACTAGAGAATTCGCCTATTACCTCGACCAGCGCTATCTCCAGTCTTGGGTACTTTGGAGCCTTCAAGGCCTCGGAGACTTTCATGGTGCACCTGCTGTTCCAAATCTGAGTTATGGTCTTTTTCAATAAGAGCCAAAAGGTCTCCTAATCTTGGGTTTCTTCCCGTGGTTAGACCCCCCTACCCCCCACAGACTTTCAGTAATAGCGGTGCCACCAGGAAGAGGTGTACTGGTAGGTCTTCCAGCTTCGTATGATTTCTTCGAGGAACAGGGGGGGTATCTACGTGTTGGTCCTAGGGTATTCCCATGTCCGTATTTATGAAAGCAGACGCCTTTTATAATTAGTCCTGGGGTATTTGTCTGATGCGGGCACGTGGGATGGAGAAGGCAGTGCTAGCGTAGCATATGGTTGGCTGACGTGTATGAATAGCCGGCGAGGTCGCATGCTCCCTGCAAGTATCGAGTGACGGGAGGGGTCTGCGGAGGGACGTCTTCCGACCGTTGGTGTGGAGAGGTGTTATTTGGACCCCCAGTGTGGGATATAGTTGGTAGGGGACTGGTTGTACCCGAAGGTCCCGGGTATGTTGGGTAAGGTAGCTCAGTATGGTGCCCCGGTTACCCGTGGTTCACGTATGTGAGCTCTCCCCGGAGGTGGGGGGCTGGGTCAGGTGGATATCCGCTCGAGAGCGTACCCTGGTTGTCTGGGGGGATCAGTCTGTGGCAGGACCCCGAGTTTCTACTCATATCATGCTCGGCTCGAGGGGGGGCTGGGCCGGTAGGGGACCCGGCGTTAAATTGGAGTGGGGTATGTGGGGGGGGAGTTAAGAAGATCCCGTCATTGGGCAGGATTTTCCGGTCTAGCGGAAGAGGGAGCGGGTCGGTGCATTG